CCCCAAACTTCCCACCGGGTTGGGACAGCCCCTGCTATTCGAAGTGTTTCCTACCGGGCTGGGGGGAAGCACCGTCGGGTCCAAACAGGTCGGGGGAGCACTCGTGTCTCCAAACAGCTCCCACCAGGTTTAGGGGAACGCCTGCAGTTCCCAAACACTTCCCGTCGGACTGGGGGGAGCACCCCCAGTGCCTAACGAGTGTGTGGTCCGGGAAAGCCTCGGGAAGGTGCCAGCACCACAGGCAGCAGTGGGAAATGGGATACTGGTTGATTGGAAAACCAGTGATGATCACTGGATTCATGGCTGGAATAGCTTATGGCGGATGAGCTTGGCACCGCACTGATGTTTTCTGCCCTTGATTTAAATCCTGGAGCAATTGTTGCTTGGGCAAAAAAATGATTAGAGCAGAAGTTCAGCAGATAGTGCCCGAGGGAGGGTCTCGTACCAGCCTGGGGGTGTGTGCTGCACCACAGGTTTGTAAGTCACAGCATCTTATCAGGACCCTCTATGATTTAGTCACAAGCTGTAACTTAGTCTGTTTAACCTGATTCATTTGAAGGCATCCTTTCAAGTTTATTCTTTGCTTGTGTTTATGAGCTGAGATCAAAACTGCTCTTGCTGTTCCAGCACAGACTTGTGTGTATAGAACATGCACCAACTTCTCCTTCCACACCCTAAAGACATGAAACACTTATTATGGATTAGCTCTCTAATTTTAGTAAAACCATTTTAGCAAGAGGTGTTAGAGATGATGAGCCCTTTGGTGCTGTTGGAAGTTTGAAAGATGCACAGTGTGGCAAATGAGGATTCTTAGTAACAATTCAGAAGTTACAAAAACTCCAAAGGGCAAATTTAGCTCAATGGCTTTAGGAGCTTTGTCTCTCCACCTGCACTCTCAAGGTTTTGTTTTTATCTCCTTCAGTGTTGTCTCTTACAGAACCATAAAACTTTAGGGTTTGGAATGGACCTTATAGATCATCCAGCCCCAACCCCCTGCCCAGGGCAGGGACACCTCCCACCAGAGCAGGTTGCTCAAGGCTCATCCAACCTGGCTGTGAACACTGCCAGGGTTGGGGCAGCCACAGCCTCCCTGGGCAACCTGGGACAGTGTCTCGCCACCCTCACAGGAAAAAACTTCCTAATATCTAACCTAAATTTCCCTCTTTCAATTTGTACCCATTGCCCCTTGTCCTGTCATTGCAGCTCCTAAGAATCATTAAGAGTCAGAGGACTGTCTGTCCAGAGTAGTTAAAACAATGTATGAGCATGTTGCTTATCCAAATGTTTTCTCTCACTTCTCAGCTTACCAGAGAAGCTCAAGATGAGTCTACGGAAGCAAACCCCAAGTGACTTCCTGAAACAAATCATTGGAAGGCCAGTTGTGGTAAAATTAAATTCTGGAGTTGATTATCGAGGTAAGTTCTCCATCTGTCTCTCACAGTGAGTAAAGTAATTGATTGGGGAGGCTGGAATGAAAGCATTGATTTAGAAAAACAGAACAATGTGATCCAGGATCTGGGAGTATGTGAATATAGATCTCAGAATGGTGATGTTAAAAATTGAAAAATCAGCTCTGGAGAAACTGGTGAGAAGGAGGTTAAGGGTGGATTTAGAGATGAAAATTTCTGATATAAACCATTAGTCACAGATGATCTCTGCTAGGAGCTGCAGTGACAGGACAAGGGGCAATGGGGACAAATTCAAAGAGGGATATTTAGGTTAGATATCAGGCACTTGTTTGATTTTCTGCAGAAATGTGACCAACATTTGAAGAAGCCAAACCAGCATGTTGGGCTTTTGTTGCAGATCTGTCTGGATTCTCCCCAGGGCTGTGTTGCTAATTTTTCCTCTGTCCCTCCACCCTCTGAGCCACCAAAGGCGCAAACATAGCCTAATGGAAGTGTTGATGTGTAACTGTAAAGTGTCTTGATTCATAGCCAAGTGCTGCACATGTGTCAGGGAAGAAGCCCTGGAAAGTAATCAGTGACACATTAATGTACAATTCCTGTGTGTAGATATGGATATGTGCACTACAACATCTCTGCATACAGGTAAAATGCTAGCCAGGATGGCCAGTGACAATATCTGATGCCATTGGTGGTGTAAGAGTAAACACAGAAGGAGGAAGAGGATGAAACAGCCATGAAGGCAGTCTAGGAAGAAGAGTTTGAAAGTACTGCATTTATGGCCCACTGAGTGGTAGCTCAGGTAAATCCACACAGCCTAGTTCTAATTTTGGACAAACATAGATTTGTTTTCTGTTGTTGCATGGAGCACTCAAGATTCTTGGAGTGGAAAAGAGTTCTGGCTTAGGTTTGGGTATTTTTGGTGCGTTTAATGACACTTGGTGAGCAGTCAGTTTTTCCTATGTCTGTGGAAACAGAGGAAGGAAAAACATAGAGGGAAAATAATAATCTTTGAACCATGACAAGTTGGCAGAAGAACTTGAATTCCTAATTATTAAATGGAAGATATTACAGTAACACTTCTGAAAAATGAGAATGTGTCCTACGGGAGGATTCTCAGACTGGAGTTTTCTCCTCCCCAACTAGGATCAATATGCTATATTTGGAGTTTTACTACCAGGAAAGTAACTAGGTGTTCTTCAAACAGAGGAAAAAATTGTTTTAGTAGTATTGCCTGTGTTTGCAAGGATGAAGTCAGGAAAACACACATGAAAGAGGGAGATAACTTGTCAAAAGCTCTTCCAGTTATGTGCAGGATTAACAAATCAGATTGTGTTCTCTGAGCAACTCTTTGCATCTGTTAATCCCCACACTGAGTTCCTTACACGAGTAATGTGGTGATCAGATGAGTTCCATTTGGTTCTGATGAGTCTAATCTCAGGGGTGGGTGTAGACACAGGTTTGGCATGAAAAAATGCCAATGAAAGTGCTGCCACCACTTAGGAATTACTGTGTGAACAAGGTCCAGCCTCCTCCTGGGGCTGTGAGAAGTGAGAATATAAACACTTGTCTAAAATAACTGCTGCTAAAATGCATATTTTCCTGATCAGAAGAATATCTCATATTACAAAGGGCAGAAATTTTTTTTTAGTTGTATTATTTGGTGTAATTTTATTTTGGGAAGATTTCAACATCTTGAAAAACGTGTAGGATTTCGTTTCCATCAAAACAGAGACTTGCAGCCAATGTTCTTCTAGATCTGTAAGCATGAAGATAAGTATCAGTGAGTGTGTATGGTGTCCTGTATTGAAAGGGTTGTTTTTCAGCTGCATCCTTCACAAGTTGTGGTGATAATTCAACTTGCATAGCCTTGTGTGAGACACTGGCCCAGGTGGCCCAGGGAGGTAGGAGATGCCCCAGCCCTGGCAGTGTTCACAGCCAGGTTGGATGAGCCTTGAGCAACCTGCTCTGGTGGGAGGTGTCCCTGCCCAGGGCAGGGGTTGGCACTAGATGATCTCTAAGTTTCATTCCAAACCCTAAAATTCTATGATTCTTTGAAATTTAGGCTGATTCTCTTTTAAACTCACTGTTTTCAGGTGTCCTGGCTTGCCTGGATGGGTATATGAATATAGCTCTGGAACAGACTGAAGAATATGTCAATGGACAATTAAAGAACAAGTATGGGGACGCATTTATCCGAGGAAATAATGGTAATTTCTGCTGCTTCTGTCATTGCTCATTGGAAAATTGGGGTTTGATATTTACTTCTGACTTTGAGGGATGGCTGAGGTACAAACAAGCTGCCTGTAAGGATATTAATTTTAGGCTTTCTTGGAAACCTTAACATACTTTTTACAGTTTCACTTTTCAGGTCTGTACTTTTCTGCATTCCTGTGGGTCTCTTTGCCTCTGAGCTTGATTTCATGTTCTTTTCTAGCCTTCCTTAGAGCTTATTTTCTGTTGACAGGCTTACTCTTTGGTCCTTACTGCTTGCTTAGATGGCCTCTGCACTATAAAAATTTGTGTTTTACTAGGCAAGCTACTGCCTAAATTCATGCTACAGTGCAGATATTACTGTGACACTAATATTTCCTGGTGATGCAATTGTCCGGAGCTGAATGAAAGCTTCTCATTAGTTCAAGAGGCTATTTTCATCTTTGAGTAAAGATTTTACTGCCAGTCGGGAAAAATCACTCATGCTTTACTACTGAGCCTTCAAACATCCCAGTGCAGTAGGTGGATTTTAGTGCACTTCAAGGACAATCCCAGGCTCCTGGAATGACTGTCTGGTATCAGTTAGGCTGTAACAGCAGGACATGCCAGGGAGAAGAATATCTAAAAATAGCAAAGGTTCACAAGTGGGATGTGAAGAGACTTGTAGAGAAAGTAAATGAAGCAGAGTTTGACCAAGTTACTGAAGAAGGAAATAGAGGTCAGCAAGGAGGGAGGAAGTAAAGAGAAACAAGGACTGAATCCCATGTTACAAAGAGTCAGTGTAAGAGCATATTGGGTCGAGAAATAATCCTTGAAATGTAGCCAAATGCTTTTTGCAAGGCATTTGGACTGTTATGCTAAGAATGGAGTGACATTACAGCTGGAGAATCAATTAAGGAAACAATCTATTATGAAAGTTAAAACAAATGGATGAGAGGCAGAAGGCTGAAGAACAGGCTGAAGAGAGAACTGAAGACATCTCAGGTTTAGGAGCACCTTATTATTTCATGTTGTGAATAGATCTGCTCTGGGGATATCACCAGACGAGCAGGTGGGAGAGATCTGCTGCTTCATAGCTAATCATTAGCTTTGCCTTTAAGTGCTTGGGATTTCCAGCTTTTGTTGAAAGATCACAGCATTAGTGTCTGACACCTGTAATTCTGCTCAGGAGCTCTCTCATGCTCCCCTTGGTAATACTGCAGGGTACTGGCTTTATTCTTCCTCTGTTCAGGCTGAATCTGCTGGAGTGTGGTTGGGCTATGAATATAATAAATCCTGAGCCACAGCCATAGGTAATGTGTACATTTGACAGCATTTTTTTGAAACCTGCACTTAAGAAGTTTCCTGACTTTGCTCATGCTGAACAGGATTCATTACCATTTACAAGCCATGAAAATAAGATGTTTTAAATAAAGAGGCTTCTGTATGTTATTTATCAGGGTCCTCTTATGCATGCCACTTTCTCTTTTCCACAGTGTTGTACATAAGCACACAGAAGAGGAGGATGTGAAGATGCCAGGAGGAGGCTGTTTTGTACTTGTGAACCTCTTTGAAGTGATGACTTAATAATCCACAGGTGAAATACACAAGTGTTTAAATAATTTTTTTTAAAATAAATGTAAACCAGTGTAAACTTCCTGAATGTTTTTGTTTTAAAGCATTGCTTTGTTCCACTGTACAGAACAAAAATAAAAGATAAGCATGTAATAGTGCCCCAAGACTAATTGGAAGCAACAGCTCATTTAATTATGCTAACAGAAAGAAGAGTAGTGGTTGGAAGGTAAACAGGCACGGAGTGATTGCAAATCACAGCCTTGCATTGGTGGCAAAACAATGGTTTAACTGATGCTAGGAAGGGAAATGCTAATGTTGTGGTGTCAATGACCTGTCCCTTTTGGAAAACACAAGGTCAGCTTTAAATGCCAGTCTAGTAAGAGTCACGGGGTAAAAAGTTCACCTGTCCAAAAAATCTTGAATTGTGGATTGAATCAAGGGATGTAACAGTGACACTTCAACAGTTAGGGGTGGGGAAAGGATTGAATCAAATGGAAGAAAAGCCTTAGGGGTGAAAAGAAAGCTCTGTGCCAGCTGAGGAAGTCAGTCAGAGGTGAAAAGCTCTCAGTTGGTATGTCAATACAGCTAGTAGCTGCTTCACCTCCTGCCTGTGTACCCCCCACCCTACCTCTGCTTGTGGTGACCTTTTTTTTTGTGCTTCTCTACCAAACACAATGGACTTCTTCAGCAAAAAGGAATCTTAACTAATATCTAAAGCTACTCCTGAAAACAGACTGGGAATCTAAAAGCTTTGGTAAACATGCCATGTGTATCCTCTTCAGGCAGTTCACCCTCTCTCCCATCTACTCCCCCCAGCCTAGTACCATCTGTATTATTCTTTTTTTATGTTCTAGCTGGAAATGAGAACAAATGCATTAAGCTTATGTATGGGGTATGCACTAGGGTGGGGAAACCTCTGAGCAGACAACAGAGTCAGAACTTGGATGTGTTATAGTTTGCAGCAATGCTCCCAGATAATCAAGCACAGCAGGTGAATCCAACCCAATTTTACAATTTGCAAAATATATTTTCTCCTTTTACATGCAGTCAGCCATGAAAAAGATCCTGAACATCCAGCTACTTCTAAATCTGAGTTGTTCTTGCACTGAGCGTCCACATCCTCAGAATATTTTCTTGTTCATAACAAAGGTGGATGTTAGGATAATGTACCTCATGCTGAGGTTATTGAGCCAATGTTTTAAGATGAGTTTTCTGAAGCTCTCCTTTATCCTTTGGGCAGCCCATAGTGCCTTCAGGAACAAAAATACTGCTAATTTTGTAAGGATTAACACAAGACAGTTGTGTGACTGCAACATTGGTCCATTCTCCCCAAGTACCAGTAGCTGGAATACAAGCAGGGAACAGTAACATTCCAGTTATCAAAGGGAGAGCATATGGGTTGCAAGTTTATTTTACTTTATATTTTTTTTAAGATCAAGAAATAATTCTAAATTATTTTGCAGTCAGTAGTTAACCTTTCCACATTAAGCATTTCAGAAGCCACAGCAGAACACACAAATAGAGTTGCTGCTGTACAAAACGCTTCAATAATTTATCATTTTCTGACAAGGGTTGAAAAAGGTTCAGGATCTAAGACAAATCACCAACCTGCTCTTCTGTAAGTGACTTCTTTTTTAAAAGAAAAGAAGATGTACCTCCAAGTGGGGCATGCAATTCCTCATTTGTTTTGTCATCTCTGTGCGGCTGGCAGGTTCCTGTCTGCTTTCAGTCCTGCAGACTGTCTGGGTTTTCTTGTTTTGGGGCTATTTTATTTTAATATGGGGTTAATCTTTTCCCTCTTCCTTTCTCCACCTTTCTGCCCCCCACCCCTACCCACCTACAGCAACACATTTTGCACGGGCTTTGAGTTACTTACAGGAGTTTGCAGCACTAACTCTTAAACTGCAGTTTCTACAAGTCAAGTTATAGAACATGGTTCAGTTGTAATCTGCTACTTCTGCTGCTCTAATCACATACTCAACTCTGAACATAGAAAATACTATGTAGTTTGCTTGCCAAGGGTTTTGTGAATGTATTCCAGATCATGAAGTCACTGTTTACTATGTGAGGTAGACAGGAAAACTTGCATTGCAGATCAGCAAAAGTAGCAAAATAAATTGAACATTTAATTCCTACAATCACTGGCCTTTAGTATAATTTACCCCCTTTAATTCCATTTTCAATCTCTACCAAAGTAAACATTTGAACCTGACTTCAGTTAGGCAATCCAGTGTTTGGTGTAGTCTGGTTTTGGTTGGATAAAACATTCATATTGGATTTATTCTAGTTATCTTTCAGATTTATTTTGCACATTTATATTCTGTAGGATAACATTCCCTTTTCAAGGAAATCAACAGCTCTCAGAATTGCCCATGGAATGCTGTGCCAGGTTTCATGGCATTATATATGTATGTAAACATTAAAGTAGAGTGATATATGTCACGAACTCTTGATGACTCAACTTAACTTTTAAGACCTCTATCCCAGTGGGAGACACAAATACACTCTTAAAAACACAATATATCTTCATACACAAACAACACTGAGATACTCATGGTCATATCCTTCATGCTGCCCAATTTACCATATGTTCTTGCCCCAGTATAAAAGTTTTACTTGGAGATCATCTAGACCAGAACTGACAATGAAACATTCCTTGGGCAACTTACAAGCATTTGTCCATCACTTTTCTTAGAAGAATGTATCCAAAATTAAGTAACCCAAAGGAACAAACAAAAAATACTGAATTTCAGAGACTAAATCTGCATTCGCATAGTACTTCGGTGTGATGAGATCACATCATGAAACCAAGGCCATTCAAACACTACTGCATCCTCAGCTACACAGCCAGTTCACAGACAAACTCCAGGAAAACTAATAACTGTGATTTTGCTACATCCTCACATCCAGCATAAATTTCTTGCAGTTGAGAAGTCAAACTGAGCCACATCTCCTTAAACAAAAACCTAACTGGGAGCTGCCACACAGCATATCCTGTGAAAACTTGAGAAAGCAAGGCTGGAAAAAGGAGGTAGGTACTCACTGTGTGGTAGGACAGCCAAAATCCAGGTTGTTACTGAGGTCTGCAGTGTCCTGGAGTGCCCCTATATAAAGGGAGCTGGTCATGCTGGGAAGGTTTTGCTTTAAAAGTATACACTGATGCCCACTTAGTTACACAATTAGTTGCCACCTGGTTCCTAGTTGAAAGGGAACCTAGTGCAAACCACTCTGAACATCATTTATTTGAGTTCTATCTGTTTCATGATGTTGCAATGACAAACAGGTAGGTACTCGGAGCCCTTCTGGGCATGGTTTGCCTGTTAAATCCTAAGGCTCTGAAACACCAGCTCTGCTCCACAGCTGCAGGTTTCAGCTTGGTTGTCCATGGTAGGCAAGAAATCATGCAAGTATTTGCAAAGTGACAACCTTCCAACCTTTGACTGGTGGCACCAAAGCAATGCTGATCTTTAATATGCCGACTCACACCTATGGTTTTGGAAACAGACTCTGGAGTCAGCAGTTTCAAAGACTCAGGTTCCTGTGCCAAACTGCCTGAAATCAGATGGGAGGGGGCATTTCCTGAGCTGCTGCATTGACCCCCACCAAGGGTCCCACAGCAGTGGTCACACAGCAGCTGTGGGCTGGGCTGCATGCCCAGCTTGGCTTTCAGGCCTGCACAGACCCCTCTGCTGCAGGAAACCTCTGCCAGCTCAGCCTGGCTGCAGAGTTGCAGGCAGCTCCCACTCGGTGCCACGACTGCACCACCTGCATGGCCTTGCCTTTATCTAACAGAGCAGCAACAAGTTCTCATGAGAACATCCTTTAGAAAGAGGATTGTTTTGGGGAATGGAAATTATAAAACAGCTCAAGTGATGAGAAGGGAGAGCTGCTCTCCATGAACGGGTTTGTATCTGCTCTGTGCTGCACACACTGAGGGAGAATCCATCTGGCCACCAACTGATGCTACATCAATGTGGGGTGTCCAGCATCTGAAGGGATCTTCGTTTTACTTGCTGTCTGCATTCCTCAGCTGATTCTGTCTTTGTAAAGCAGTCATTAAGCTATTTGTTGCTAGGCTTTTCTTACTGAGATCCAGAAAGAGTCCTACACTCTCTCTCTCTCTTCCCTTCTCCTCAACCCCATCCTCTAGGGCAGAACAGCTGCCCAGGCTGCAGTAGTTACCAAATAAAATAGGTAATGTTGTTTCTATCTCTAGGCTGAGTCTGTAAGAGAAAGAGGCTCACATTATACGTTGCATGCATGTGTATGTGTCAGTTCCTTCCCAGCAGTAACAGTTTAATCACTGTCACACTTCAGGAAGTGTGATAAAGGAACAGCAAGAATAATCAACTGAATAAAAGGGGAAGGACCTGCCAATAATTCTGCCAACCCTCTGCCTAACTGATATCTCAAAAATATCCTCTCTTCCCTGGTCTCCCCAAACGCAGAGTCACAGACATGCACAGGTCAACCCTGAGTTGCCAGTTTGTAGACATTGTTCTGCATTCTCTCTGTGGGACCACCATGAGTTTGTACCAGTCTCCTGTGTGGGTTTTTAATCACTCATCTTGCAGCTGGCCACTGCTCTTTGTTTTAAAGATGACTTGAAATATTCTTAAATAAGGTGATGCTGCCAGCTTTGTTGGTTTAATGATCAGTTCCTTGTGATCTGAACTCAATTTCTGCCACCTTCAAGCTCTCTACTTGATCAACCTGCCCACACTTCTCTAAGCCCCCTCAACCTCTGTTCACAGGACTCAGGTGGTCACTAGCTGACTGGGAGGAACTCCTAACTTGTTAAAACCATTGTTATCTTGCAGTAGCAAAGCATTTCTCAACCTGTCAATGAAGCAACCAACTTGCTCTTGAGTTTCAGCTCTGAGTTTCTTACATCCATGCCCATATTACCTACTGATCTCTGCTGTACCTGCTCCACATCTGCTGTCTCTGTTGCACTCAGTGATGTGGAGATGTAGAACTACTCTACAAGAAGGATGAAGTTTCTGCATCCAAGAGCCTGGGGTGGTACTGGGATTATAATCCTTCTGTGCATTTTGCCAATGAAATTTCAGGTTATATGGTTTATAGTTAATCTTCATTGTCAAACAATTACAGAAGATGAACAGTTTTCCATAGTGCTTTTTTCAGTTCCCAGCTGTGGTTTGTTGGT